CATACACAGCAGGAATGGATAAAACATGAAGAAGTGAAAAACTTGCCCAAGGTCTCTTTGAAATGCTGTGTGCCTGATAAAGTAGGAGCTCTTCTTTGACTTCAATGGACATCAATTTAGGCTTTTAATGTCATTGCCAGAAGTTGAAGTGAAAGTCAAAATGTCCTGCCCCCAGTGCAGTTGCAGAGGGTAATTGGATGGTCCTGCTTTAGATAATTTCGGATCCCCCCAGGCCCTGGACTTCCTTGGCTGGCCCCAGAGAAACCACCCAGCCCTGCCTGAGCAGCTGAGCAGGTGGGAAGGCAGGCTGCTGTCACTATGCTATTTTATTAAAATCCTTTCACTAGGATTTTCTCCTGAGAAGCTGAGAAGCCTCAGAAAAGAAATATAAACAATCACCTCTCTGATTGCTTTATGGTGTGGAGATGGTTTACCAACAGGTTCATCTTTGATTGCTCTCATGTGGATTGTTTTTACTTAATGACCAGTTACAGCCAGCTCTGTCAGACACTCTGGTCTGTCATGAGCTTTTATTATTCATTCCTTTCCCAGCCTTCTGATGTATTCCTTTCTCTATTCTTTTTAGTATAGCATTTTAATATAATATAATAAATCAGCCTTCTAAGAAATATGGGGTCAGATTCATCTCTTCCCTTGTTCTGGGACCCACAAACACATCGACAGGCTGGGCACACTGAGCCCAGTGAGGAGCCCGTGCTCTGTGAGAGCAGAGGCACAAGGAGCCCTTCCAGGGCATTCCTGCCCTCCATGGGCTCCCACAGCTGCACATCCCTGGGTCCAAAGAGCACACAGCCATCAGTCCAGCACCACGGCCTCTCCATGTCACCAGGCCATACTGACCCACCTTGGAAAAGAGGATGGACCGGGTGGGTCCCAGTCCCTCTTGCCAAACTCCTGCCCCGTGTGTCACAGGAGATGGGAGGCTGAGCTTTGCTGCAGAGGCACTAGAGAGGCTTTGCTGACCTCATGGAAGTACTGTTCTCCCATTTCTCTCCCAACAGAGAGGCTCCTGCAGAGGCAGCCTCTGTTCCAAGCATCAAATACAACACCACTGCTGAAGAGGGGGTTTCCAGATCCTGCCTGAGCTGTCTGTGCCTGGTCAGAGTCCTTGTGCCCCGGCCCAGGTAAGCCCATGCCCATGGAACTCTGCTTTAGTGGCTTTTTAACCCCATCCCAGTAACCACTGCATCTGCAGATCTGGGAAATCTTGTGGGATTAGGGGAAAAAAAACCAGCTCATTTTCTCAGTGCCCTTCAATGGGAGCAATCTTGTAGCCACCCACACCTATCAGATAGCTGCACTTGGCCAGTCATCAAAACCAAAGGCAAGCCTCAGCCATGGGTGATTTCAGCATAGCTTTGCCTGGCAGGAGCTCAGGGAAGCCCACATGTTCTCAGACTGCATTAATGCTCCCTTCCTGCTTGCTAACACAGACACTTTCCTGCCCATCCCATCCCCATGACCACCTTCTCTGGTCTCTGACACAGCAGCTGCACAGTACAGTAACTTATGGAGCAGAACATCTCATTTCTCTTTGACTGACACAGTCATTTCTGCAGCTGAAATACTCTGTCCACGTTCCCAGGTGTTCCTCATCTGAGAAACTTAAGGAGAGGGAAGTGGAATAAGGGGTCAGGTGTAAATCTTACTCAGAGGAGAGGTAAAAAATAATTGTAATCATAAACATTTAGAGAGCTCAGTAGCCAGAGATTCTTCTACATTGGGGATTCTTCTACAGTGATTTGGAAAAAATCAAGTTGCTTATATGAGTTGAAGAAAGAGCACTAAAATTGATCAATGCATGTAATTCAAGACAAAATGAAACTCACTATTGCTAAAGAAAACAAAGTTTACTATGGCTTGTTAACTGATGAGGTCTAATAATTGCATGTAATTCAAGACAAAATGAAACTCACTATTGCTAAAGAAAACAAAGTTTACCATGGCTTGTTAACTGATGGGGTCTAATAACAAAAAAAAAAAAAAAAAAAAAAGTAGGAGATTTAGTGGCTGCAAATGAGATCCCTAATCTGTAAGATGTAAAGTGCATCATAGGTTGAAGGCTTGACAGTCCATTTTTCTTCAAGTTTTTGGCAGCTGTTTTACAAACTACTTCAGCCTCTCAATACCAAAGAAAATCTGGTGCTTCGTGGTAGAGCTGGACAAATGGTCACCAGCTCAATAGGTACAAATGTACACAATTTTTCCACTTTGGAAGAGAAAAACCCCATTTTTTCCCTAATTTCTAGCTTCTAGACAGCTGGCCACAGTTCAAGCTCCATTTAGGATTTTCTGGCTAGCCTTAGTTAAACACATATTTGTAATTTTCAAAACCTAAACTGTAGTTACAGAGTTACGATGGTATCCATTACAGTAGTGCTTTTTTATGATTATTACAATTTATTCTCAAAATGTTGGCAGTATTAGGACAATTTGGCAATGTGAAATTTAACTTACCTCACATCCAGAGTCAGGGGTTGTTGCTCTCATCAGGTCCAAGGTCACCCATGGGCTGGGTTCTGATAAAGTTGGTTTTGGCTTTGCCTGAGTGGAGGAACCCAAAATCTTTTATCAGCTCTCCCCCCACCATCACTGTATGACCTGCACCAGATCTCACTCATGTGAGAACCTTCAGCTAATGACAAAACAAAAAACCTTATCACCATCCTGGGGATCAACCTGCAAATGTTGCTCTGTGAGCATGGCCAGGCCAAGATACCCATCATCTATGGTGTGATACAGCACAGCTGCTTTCCTTTCATGTCTATTGTTTTTTACTTTTTTTTTCTTTATATATTCTTGGTATTCTTTACACATATATTTGGAGCTCTGTAGCTTGTGATTGCATTCATAGCTAGTTTTCCCAATAGCTTTCCCTGCCCTTTCTGTAGGCAGGAACAAAATTCTCCAGAGCTCCAAGCCCTGGGGGTACAAGGCCTCTATCCTGTCTTGGTTTTTCCTGGGAACCAAGGCTGGAAACAGCTCTTTGAGACACATTTTCATCAACAAAGTACAGCTAGTACCAAGTGGGGTGGGGTGGAGGGGTGGAGCTCCAGAGAAGGGGCTTGACTTGGGGAGAATTGCATCACCACTTGTCCTCCTAATTGGTGTTTTTTATCAATTATGCTAATTTTCTGAAATCTATAAAAATGTATGCACCGCTCTGGGGGTGGATTTTTGTGGGCATTCTTCCATGACTGCTCTTGGAGTTCCAATAAAGATCCACTTTTATATTGTCTCCTACACTAAAACTATCTTGTGTTTCATTTCTAGGTTGAAAAAGGCATCACCTTCCATTTGATTTATTGGTTTTTAATTTAAGTGGGGTGGCTTGCCTTCCACCTAAGAAGTACCAAAGCCAGACTTAAGCTAGGTGTGACCATGGAGTAACAGTGCTTTGCCCTCATGGGTTCTCAAACACAGTGTAAGAACCATAGAATCCCAGAATATCTTGGTTTGGAAGGGTCCTCAAAGATCATCCAGTCCCATCCCCTTCCACTAGATCAGGTTGCTCCAAGCCCAATCTGACCTATTCTTGGACACTTCCAGGGATGGGGCAGCCACAGCTTCTCTGGGCAAACTCTGCCAGGGCCTCACCACCCTTAGAATTTTTTTTCTAATATCTAATACAAACCTGTTTTCTGTCCATGTGAAGCCATTCCCCCTTTGTCCTGTCACTCCAGACCCTTGTAAATAGTCTCTCTTCATCTTCCTTGAGGACTCCCTTCAGGTACTAAAAGGGGCAATTAGGTCAATTCTTTTTTTCCAGGCTGAACAATCCCAATTCTCTCAGCCTTTCCTCACAGAAGATGTGCTTCAAGACTGAAGTTTAAAAGAAGGTGGCCAGAAAATGTCCCATGAAAGTGTTCCTCCTGGCATGGTCTGGATGTGATTCAGAGTATCATGATAAATAATTTGGGTATGAAAGCAAATGAGCCTTTGTCTGCAGTCACCCCAGGAGGGGTTTTCTCTCTGCAGTTGTTCAAGAACTCTCTCCTGGGTCTGGTGATCATATTTAACTTCAATTGATCAGTTGCAAGGAAACACTTACTGATACAAAAAAAGAAAAAGATGGATGCAGAGAATGAGAATATGGAGAGGGAGAGAAGTCAGTAAAGGAAAGGAAGAGGGAAAAACCCCAGTGAAGTAAGATAAGGTGAAAGCACCACCCGCCAACCACCTCCATCTCTGTGAGTGACACAGGCCATGGCAAAGGGAACAACGCTTTGTTCAACCTCTGGGAAAGCCCACCTAGCTGGGAAAGCTGTCCAAGGTGATCAGAGCACCCCAGTGGTGGTTTCCTTGTCCAGCTGCATTAGTGATCCCTGGTGTCAAGAGTGAGACTTGGGAGATGAGTTGTCAAGCTCAGACTGGTAAGAAAAAGGCAATGTGGTCATGGCATGAACATCTCCATCCCTGCCCAGCACCTGAATACAAACATAAATATATTTTCCTACACAATGTGGCTTAACACCACCACAGAATATTGAAAAGTCATGTGTCAGCATCCCTGTAAAAGCCATTTCTGTAACAATAAATGCAAACTGCTGAAACACAGCAAGGGGGTTGCTAGAGGCTGGTGCTCACAGGAACATCCCTGAGAGCCCACACTCCTGTTCTGCCACAGCTGGCACCTGCTATTTTCTGCATCAATAACAACCTCCCAAATACACCCAGACCACAAACACACATTTAAAAAGTAAAGGTAGCAGGATCACACTGACCTTAAAGTTCATCCAGTTCCAACCCCTGCCATGAGCAGGGACATCTTCCACTATCCCAGGTTGCTCCAAACCCCATCCAGCACTTCCAGGGATGGGACAGCCAGAGTTTCTCACAGCAGCCTGTTCCATGCTTAGTGCCAATAATGACCAAGGGGGTCTGGTTTGAGTGGGGAATATGCATATGATGAATTTGCTTACAAAAGCTGTATCATGTAATTTTCCTGGGCATCAGAAACCATGTCATACTTTGGAATATTTCCCATCTGACCTTCTTTATTTCCTCATATCTTAACAAACATAACAAACTGAAACATGGAGTTATTTCTTTTCTGTTCTGTAATAAAAAAGATACAGTATTTTGATGCCCAGAAAATACATTAAACATTCATTTATTGGTGAGATTTTCATTATATAATTACATATGCCTCAGTTTGGTGCATAGGAAATGTACAGTTTAACATGCTAGTTTTATTACCAATTTTAAAAAGGCATGGAACTTTATAACAGACAGGAGATAAGGTATTAGGTTCCCACGTATTGCTGAGTACTGGTGAGACTGGAATTGAAACAATATGCTGTGTTCCTGTAACAGATTCATTTTAATGAGAGGTACCTGTTCAACTAGAATCAATCAATCTTACAATCAAATAATAAGTACCAAAAAAAAAAGGAGTATTTTTTTTTATATGTGCAATATAGCTTGTTAGTTTCTAAGTATTTCTAATTCCTTTTGCACTTCCTCTGGTAGCTGCAGCTGAATGGCACTTTTTAAATATCCAGGCTGAACTTTTCAGGAATAATTAGCAGTTCTGGGGACCTATTCAGAGGGCCCAAACCTATTTATCACTCTCTGACAATCCTCTTCAAGGTAGTTAATTTGAGGTGAAATTATTAATCCTTATCCATCTTCTTCCATCCAAAGACACCGTGTACTCATCCCAATGAACACTGACATCTGATTTGTCACACAGCCTGTCACCCAGGTTATCTGGCCAAGGAGCCAGTTGAGATCTATCCAAACATTTAGAAAAGTTTCAAACTTCACCAGGCAGCTGAGCAGTTTTACACACTACGTATTTATACAAACAACTACGTCAGGCTCACTTAATTTGCTCAGCTCTATGTCTAATCAACGTAATAGCTTGTTATTTGTCTTAAACTATAAACCAAATATTTAAAAATAAAAATTTAAAAAAAAAAAAAAGAGAACACTATTGGGTTTTAAAAACAAGTATATGACATAATAGCTTGTGGTAGTGTTCCAGCACTTGCTGTGGGTGTCCCTCAGAACCAGTACTCAGACACGAAGATGTGGACGTTGACGATGTTGCGGTGGGACACCACCCCGCCCATGACGTAGTTCATCTCCAGTTTCAGGATGGCATGGAAAGGTCCAATTATGGGCCTCACCTGGCGAACAACTCCTGTTGGGACACAAACAGGTTGCTGAGGTTAGCAGATCCAGCTAAGTCTGGGGGAGCTGCACCGCCCTTGGTGTTCAGTGTAGCCCAGGGAAAGGTATTTTATCTGTTGGGTCTGTAAATAGCTTGCAAGAAAGCTTGGAAAAGAAGGATAAAATACAACTTTTGAGTCAAATATCTGGAAGATCTATAATGAGCACTGAAGTGTTGCAAATGGCAAAACCTTCCTATATATTCTGAAATCAATAATTTTTTTTACCTTTTATTTGGAGACATAAAGTCAATAAGCATGCTGCGACGCTGCTTTTACATAGGGAGATTTCCCTGGGTAACCCAGAACACACATTCTGGGTTAGCACACCTGGGAACTCCATGCAATTCCTGGTATCGTGTCGAAAACCCCGTTTCATTTGGAGCAGTGGAAACTATCTGTCTTGCATCAGTAAAATCAACCCTTCCCCTGTGAATGACACCAATGATGTAAATCACTGACAATGATGTAAATCAGATGACACCAATCTGCGGATCATTAGTGTGCTGAGTCATGGATGGACAACCCCACTGGACACAGCAGGAATAAAGTTTAATGAGGAAAGGGGGCTGTCTCTGCATCTGTTCCTGTGTTATCAGGTGAATGGTAGCCAGCACTGGGGTTTGATAAGGAAGGAAGCAGTCAGGGAGAACTGTGTCTTCCAGGCCTCCAGTCCTGTGACTGGTTTGCCATGGAGGAGCCCCAGTGCCGGGCACAGCGTGTTGGAGACTGCTGGGGTGCTCAGAGGGTGGCAGGGCAGGGCTTGTCCCCCTCCCCAGCCAGGCAGCAGGGCAGCCCAGGGGCAGCCAGGTTCAGCCAGAGACCCACATCATGCCCTGGCTCGGGGATGATGCTGGGCCAAAGTCAAACTGGGACAAGAGCAAGTGGAACCCTCATCTGTGCTACAGCCAGAGCCCAGCTCTCTCCCAGCACTGCTCAGAGAGGGACTGAAGGTGACATTGGGCTCTGGGTAGGTGTGGGAGAGGACCCTGGGGAGGCATGTCTGGGTCATATCTGTGCCTTGACGCAATGTGGCTACGCAGAATAGGGATGCAGCTTCAGACCTACAAAACAAAGTCAACACAAGCTTTGCCCTTGATTCCAAAGGCTCCAGATCAGGTTCTAAACATATTCTCAGTTCTTGTTTATTTTCTAGGCCTGGTGTTACAGAGTAGGCAGCCACCAAACTGCTCTCATCTGAAAAGGATGTCCCCAGATGTCAAAATTGCATGAAGCCAAGGTCAGCCAGCAGGCACAGGGAGTCTGGTGGGGACCCCCCTCCACAGACACCTCCCTTTGACAGCAGACTGCTCTGACAGGCTCTTTGATTCAGAAGGAAATGCACAGTTTAAGGAAGGATGGTTTGAGGTGTACTCCTCCTGATGCTGGGGACTGTAATGGAGTCCCAGCTGAGCTCCTGCAGCTGTTCCCTACAAACACTCTGGCCTGAGATCTGATGGGAGACGTAAATGTTTGCTTATGCAGCCTGTCAGCACCTTTTCCTAAGGCAGTGATGGCATTACACTTCTGTCCTGTTCAAACACTAACTAATATCTTCAGCATGCAGTGAAATTGCAAACTTCTCACCACAGTCACTTTGCCTGCCATATTTGATGAATACACTTTTTAAGCATCCTGCCCCCTTCAATTTATATGCATGCATAAATATACATACTTATATTTTATTTTTTAATTTTCCTTAGATTTCTTGGCTGCTCTCCTGTATCTTATAAAAATGAATGGGCTTGGCAGATGATGTATTGACACAGAAAAATCTTGCTAAAATTGTCCTCCCTTTAGGGTAGCATTTAAAGCATTTTACTAACAACACATCACATTATTGCAGGCACTGCTCTAAATGAGAACCACGGAAATGCACAGCATTGAAATCACTCAGTGCTGGCAATCTTTAACCAACCCTGTGAGCAGCTCCTGCAGTCATCACCAAGCCCTAGAGAGCTGCTGGTTTGGTTTAGCAATCCTGTTATAGCATTCTACACTTTCTGCACCACTCCACTAGTTTACTCTGCTCTAGAGGTGGGATTGCAGGTGGTGCTTTCTCTGCTGTGCAGTGTGGCAAACATTCACACATCACTGATGCAGCACTCAAAGCCATTTGTAACCTTCTCATTCGTGTTGAGATGCACCCTGCTAACGGGCAGGGACAAAGGTGCAATGGGCAAGCACTGCAGTCCATGGGGCAGTGCCTCTTCACACAGTTCTCTTGCTGCAGTTTTAAAATCCAGCTGATAAAATGGCTTGAGAAGTGAATGCCACACGTGCTGACAGCTATATTGAAGAAAGAACTCAAGGATGTGTAGAAAAAAACAATACTCTGACAACAGTTATTTCTACAGTATGTTGTTCTAGATGGTCCTGAATCCACTGCAGGAACTATTTCTTTTCTCTCCCATTAAATGAATGAGGATGATACAGGATGATACAGGCAGATGGCTTTGTGCTACAGCATATATGTAAGGATGCATTCATTCTGAATAGGTAGAATGCGGGGGAAAAAAAAAAAAGAGGAGAAACCCTTGAAATTTTCATACGAGAGCTTTGCTGCTCTTGGCAGATCCACTCCTTGAGAGTTTTGCGTTTTTGTTTTGTGACAAGTGCTAAAATGGAAAACCAGAGAATTTTTCTTCACCACACTCAAGGACAAACAGAGGTGGAAACCATGCAAGATGCTTTCTGTGTCTGATTCTGTCCTGTCTCAAACCTTTCACATCACATATAAGGGAGGCATAGCTCTGCCAGGCCCAAACAAGGCCAGCAGTGCCTGGGGCTGACTCACACAAAAGACCAAAAAAAATCTTGAGATCTAGGCCTGGTCCATGTACTTCACACACATGGCTCAACAAATCAGTCAGTATCCCAAAAGCATTTAGCCCAGGACACATTTGAAGAAGCCACATGTAATAATTCTGGGTGTTTTGAAGTTACATGGATTTGTGAGACACGGCAGCATTTGCATAAACATGCTGTTTCACTATCCCTGTTGGCAAACTCGTGGATCCAGATTTGTGGTCTGGCAGCTGTCAGCATTTATAGCTGAACACTAAGCACAAAAGCATACCTTATAGTAACAGGAAGGTTAAGATTTTTTAAATGCGCTGAGAAGTCAGGAAATGTAAAAATTAAGCAGCTACTTTTTGATCTCTTTTTTACCTGTCCAAATCTAAAGTAGCTAGATGGAGCCACTCAGATTTGCCATGGGGATAATTGGACTCAGTCCTGGAGCACTGCAGCAGTGCCCACTGTTCTGTGGGTCACTGTCAGGGGCACCAGTGGGGCTGCTCAGGAAATTACTTGCAGACAGAGGGCTCTCACATACCAGGGACCACAGCTACAGGCTGCACAGCTGGCAAAGAAGGTGAGTTCCTTTAAGCAAGTTCACCCCAATTATTTTCCAACAATGTTAGACTTCAGCTAGGTTAGCATAGAAAAAGAAGAAGAACAACAAGGTGAATCCTTGATCATAAATGAACATGGAGATTCCCCCTGCTGAATCCAATGTGTCAGGCAACCTCAAGCATCTGTGCTGTCTTGCCTGCAGGCACATGGACCAGCGTTGGTGCTCTCCATCCAGCCTGATGAGCTGCTGGTGCTGTTCATTCTCTTTGGTTCATCATCTGTGACCCAAGCACAGACTGAACCTGCAGAAAACGCCATGTGGTACAGGCCAGGCAGAATGCCTTCCCTGAGCTCACCTGTGCTGGGATTTGCTGCTTTGTTAACTCTGCACAGATGTCACTACATGTCCCAAATCTGTTTGGGTATCTTCATGATTTGTTGACCTCCTTTTAAAAAACAGTGATGAGATTTCTTTCTCTTGCACACTTTACCCTTACTACAAACAGGATCTATGGCAATCCTCTCCACCTGCTGATCTGTGAAAGCCTCAGAGTGAGAGGCAGCAAGTTTTTGGATGTCACAGTAATGGTCTGAACCATGGTCCAGCTCCTAAAGCTCTGCAACTAAAACACTGAGCTACTCTCCTCTCCTGTTTTTTACTTCATGTTTTGTATTTTAGTTTTGGGGTTTTTTTTTCTGAGGTAAAGCATGTCACTGTGTATAGTAAGGACAATAACCTAAATAATATATAATACATATTTTTAAATGAAAGCAATGACAACAGCCAATAATCTGAGTAACTGTCACTGACTTACCAAAGCTTTGCTTATCAGAGAAGATGGGATAAATAAGACAGCAAGGATAATATTGTTAATATTCCTAAGCCTTTCAGCAGCATTTCTAGTATTTTAATCTGGGAGAATCATATAATTGTTTGGATTGGAAAAGGCCTCTAAGATCAAGCCCAAGCATTAATTCAGCACTGCCAAGGCCATCACTAACTGATGTCCCCAAGTGCCACATCCACCCATTGGTCAAATCCCTCCAGGGTTAGTGCCTCAACCATTTCCCTGAGCAGCCTGCCCAAATGCTTGACAACCCTTTTAGTGAAGGAAATTTCCCTAACATTCAATCTAAACCTCCTCTGGCACTACTTTAGGCTGTTTGCCTTTGCCCTTGTTCCCTGGGAGCAGAGCCTGACCCTCACCTGGCTGCTCCTCCTGTCAGGGAGTTGGGGACAGTGAGAAGTTACCCCCTGAGCCTCCTTTTCTCCCACAGCTCCCTCAGCTGCTCCTCCTAAGACAGGTTCTCCAGATGCCACAGGTATTCCTTGGGTTTTCTATACCTCTTTAAGATATCATTGCACTTCTCTGCTTTGAAATATGTGAGATCCTCAGGCACTTCACCTCTGTGTTTGGTTTCTGCTTGTACTTCTGCATTAGGCAGCAGATTTGCTAAGAAGTTCTATTTTCAGCTGAGGAGAAGAGCTGCTGGTTTTTTTTCATATTAACCCATTCTGGCTGACAAGTCCCTGCCTTGTCATGCACTCACATCTTCCCTCCAGACTCCTATTTCTGATTTCTGTTCTAGCTCCTTAAAATGGTCCTGTTTAAAT